TGTTGCGAAATAAAGGCCTTCTGCAAATGGAGTTCGATTAATCGAAGACATTACCAACCGCAAGGAGCTGAAAAATCCTCATCGCATCCCCTAGTGTTGAGAGGAAAATATCCACAGAAGAGAAAAATACAACGTATATTTACACAACAGTACTCTGGAAGCTCATTCCTGGGCGGTCATACACAGTGACTCGGTGATGGAATGGTGAACTGATGGGGTGTCAGCTATCGTCCACAAGCTCTTCTTCATCATCGGAAAAGTACGAATCCGGACGAATGCGCCGTCGTTTATTCGCACCGTTGGAAGACGAAGGCTTACTCTGGTCATCCAAAGTGGCTTGGTAGTGCACAGCGGAACTCCAGGTGTCGAAATCCAGTTCCTCCTCGTCCTCCTGATCCGTCGCCGCATCTTCAGGGAGTGGACATGTGTTTGGGTGACCGCCAGCTTCATTAGAACGACTGCAACGCAGGGAACAGGTAGAAATCTCGCGTTGACATCAAATGCTAAACAATGGAGTCAATAGGGTGTGGAGCAATGATTGCGGATCAGTACTGACGCGCACAAAAATGAGAGCGAACAAGTTTCGTTAATTGGTTCGCCAACGTAACCACTTATCAGTTGATATAGCTCGCCCATGATCAAAATGAGAGATGGGTAGCGATCCAATAATCGGTTAGTAAGGAACAGAGGATCAGCTTAAATTGTGCATAAATCTGAAGCCCTATCTCACTGTAGTGCAACTACACCGTCAGATTGGTGCTAACCACATCTGCCTGAATTCATTGTTTCGCTGCTGTATGGACCACTGCTAGGTTGGGTAGAACAAAGTTGCGCTCTATTCACAACACCCCAATCCCATTCTGCTCGATTCACGCGGTCTTGATGTATGTGGTCAGTTTGTGCTGGCTACGCGCAGATTGGCTGCTTCCCACCGTCTGGCCCCATTTGTTAAGCTCGCTCAGTCGATCAGCCCCCCATAGCATCGCGTGCCGTTCGTACCGGGTCGGTGTCCGGTATGCGCAGCTCGCTTGCTTTTGTTCAGGACAAAAATCGTGCTTAACGCACATACATGCAAACCAATTGTTTACTGCTTATTCATCCCCGTGTAGTTGTGGGGTCAAGTTGCGCGCACGCAGCGATGATTGGATTCTGTTCACAGCCAGCGCGCGTCGGTTTCGCTCGCAGAACTTGCCAGGGCGCTCAGTAGAAACATAGCACATGTATAGACCAGACACATCTGGGACCCCACTCAGAACTCCCTCATTCCATGTGAGTAAGACGCTCCGACATAGTATTGCCTTGTTCGAAGAGTTGTCACATGGGAACGTAAACAAGGGTGCCGAGGTAAGTCAGGCTACTCTGTTTAGCACTTCTATATTTCACATCAAGTCTTCACATCGGCCTTTTTCCAACAAACGGAAGACGGAACACTATGTGCAAGTGGAGCTACAAATACACGTGAACAGGTTGGACAAACAGGACCTGTTTCCAGTTGGCAGGTCAGATTACCACTGGCTGTCAGCCGCTTCGGGCTTTGCTTTGCAACATCGAAATGCAAAACGTTTCTCCAAGATTGGCACGGACCGCCTCCTGCGCTGACACTTGGTGGGAAGCACCAAGAAGCAGTTCAAAAATTCAAAAACCTGAGAAGTTGTATCAGCGCCCTTGGGATCGAAGACGAGATCACGAAGCGTATAGCGAAAGCTCCAAGTGCTTTTGCTAACCTTCGCCACCTATGGCGGCGGCGCGACATTACTCTCGCCCAGAAGGGCACAGTGTACAGTGCAGCGGTACGTTCGACCTTACTGTACGGTTGCGAAACCTGGCCATATGATCGGCGGACACAGAAGCTAGTTACATTCGACTATCGGTGCCTTCGCAGTTTGGCTCACATCTGGTGGGAACACACCGGGAGTAACGAGCGTGTTCGACGCCTTGTTTACGGCACAGAAAAAGGAACTGAACCGCTCAGCACCGTCATTTCACGCACCAGGCTCCGATGGCTCGGCCACGTGTTGCGCATGCTAGCCCACCGACTCCCGCGACGTGCGTTGTTTGCTCACCGGGGATGTGGATGGAAGAAGAGCAGGGGTGACCAAGCGATGACTATATCGAGAGGAATGAAGGTCATCACTTCGGAGCTCGCCTCGGTCGGATCGTCACGGCTACCTGGTTGGGGTCCGAAAGACGATGAACATGTTTGGCTGGATACACTTGTTGACATGGCAAGGAGCCGATCTCAGTGGCGTTCCTGCTGTGAGTTTCTTTGTCCCTCCCCATCCCTTTTAGCCTGCCCCTCCGCCTACAATTTCAGTTCGTAGTGTAAAACCTAATAATTTTTCTTTTTGCCTAGTAGCCGGCTGATAGCTTACCGGAACGATGCCTATCCGTTGCTGGTAGCTCAGCTGGCATGCAACTGTTGTATTTATTTTCCTTTTCCTTTATGTGTTGCGGCACGGTAACTGAAGTGTTTCCCACCTCTAGCTGACTGATATAATGATAATGATGATGGCAGGTCAGTAACTGTCCTCCTGAGGCCTCATGCTACTCATTAGTGCAATTAACGCATTGTATGCGGTGACAAGTGCAATTTAGTCCTATTTAAAGAACTGAGTTCCCTGTGTCAATCTAGATAAGACAACGAGAAGACTGGTGTTGCGAGATGGAAACGTTTCGTGTTATCTGATCACCAGCAAACTATCAACATAATTATGAAGCAGGTGGCATAAAAAATCGAAAGTTTGAAACTGGTCACAAAGGGAAAGTACGCAGACGCAAGAACAATCTATCAACGAGCTTCACCTTAAGGTCATGAGCCTCAAGGAAGCATTAGGGAGACTGTGCAGGAACAATTAGCAGTCGCCTTAAAGCTTCTTTGAAGCTTATGACCTTAAGATGAAGCTTGTTGATAAGTTGTTCTTGCGTCTACGTAATTTCCTTTTGTAACCAGTGACGGTGGTTGCGTGGCAGCAAAGCGTCGGTACTGCGTATCGCCGTACTACGGATGATTTCCTTTTCTTTCCTTTAACACATTAGGAGAAAACGGTGTTGGCTTGCAGAACAACCACTTCGTGGTTCCAGCTGCGTGGTGCGTGACTATCTCGTTCCACCAAATGGTACGGCGACAGTGTTATAGGACGTGGTGGGTTTCCGACTGGGAAGCGTTCTCCCTATAAAAAACCAAATATGTCCGGTTAACTACACTGCGGCGTGACGGATGTGATTCACCACTACATAAAGTCATTTTCTCCTGGCAACGTAATTCAAGGGTATACTGGGTCCCTGGTCCTTTGCAGACCTAAAGGCGTTTGAACCACTTGCATAGTCACCGGCCCCCAACGGATTACGACACCTTCATATTGCCCTGCTGTCTTGTAGGTTTGATCCTTGATCAGAGACTAGGGGTACGGCATCCTAAGAGAACCCTCTACTTCGACTTAGGCAATCGGATAGCATCATGTCCACTGGCGAATCATGGATGGATTCTTGTGCTATTACTTTCGTTCTTGCTATGTCTACTAGCTCTTCTGTCTCAAGTGCTTAATCTCCACTCACAGATCGTCCAGCGTCCCGTTCTTCAAATACGCTTATATCCTCCCCGGTCACCGCATACAGCACCTCACTGGTTGCACCTGATGGAAGTAAGAGACAAACCAAGAACAATGTCCAGCGACCTGAGGCGCCGCAGCCTCATGGCTTTCACGCATCTGAATCATGTGATTCCAATCCTCAGGTGCGCTATGAACATAATGTCGAGTTTTTGCAAACTCTGAGTGATAGATTGCTCGACGTGGATGAGGGCAGCCTCATAGTGAAACAGATCGCTCCTCTCGGAAAGAGAACTGAGGGTGACTTTTGTCGAAGTTAATACTGTCCCGCCTTAATAGGCTGAAAAGTCTAAAGATCCCAGCAGACAGAGAGAAACTCCAGCCTGCGATGATTGAAATAAAGCGACACACGGACGATGGAGGAACAAATCTCCGTATTGTAAATTTTCGGGTTGTTACCCGGATTCCTCCGCGAATCCGGATCAACAGGCTTCTGATGCTTCAGGCGCACCCAGCGGTTCTTACCGCGGCCTGCGTGTAGCCTTTACTAACGTCTGCAGTCTGACGAACAAACGCGATGCGCTGTACTACTTTGTAACCTCTCGGTGACCAGACGTATTAGGCCTTGCTGTGACATGGTTAAACTCCGATGTAACCGCCCAAGAAGTGGAAATCAGCGGCTACTCGTTCTTCCGCTGTGATCGACCACCAAATGATCGCGGTGGTGTACTGCTTTACATGAAGTCTTCCTTGCGTGGGAGACTAGTGAGTGCCTACCGAAGCGCTGAAGGTCTATGTGAGCAGTTATTGTGTTCGATTCACCTCAGACGGTGCGAGATGCTCGTAGGCGTGGTATATCGCAGTCTATTGAGCCGCTGTTTGGACTGGTTTCCGCATGTCCGCAACCACATAAGTCGTCAGCTGTTCCAACTCATGGGCGATTTCAATTTACGCCGAATACAGTAGTCTGAAGCTGAAGTTCTCCCCGGCCATTGTGAAGTCGAGAGGAAATTTACGGAGTTGATATTTGAAACCGGGGGCACATCAACTAGCCGACACGCATTACTGCGCGCGCAACTCCATCGTGCTTAGACCTGCTTTTGACCAGCGGTGAGCAACGTGTGCATGAGTTCCAAGTCTTAGAGCCTCTGGGAGCGAGTGACCACTCGATGATCATATCCAGCTTGGAACTGCCGCTGTCGTTTTCTCCCCCGCTGGTGCCAGCCTTTAACTATTGGAAGGCGGACTATAATGGCCCCACTCGAGCAGCGAGCCAGATGAACTGGTCTTTACCAGAGGATTCGTCTATTGTAAGCTGTTGGACTATCATTAAAGAGAGAGTGAAATCGTTGTGCGCCCTAACTGTATCGGAAAGTTGGGCCAGTCAAGCCACATTAGTTCGAAAAGGAGTACAGAAAACTGGCCCGACGACGACGCAGGCTGTCGAACAAATTCGTGTTATCTGGTTCTGATGAGGACTACAAGGCGTACAAGGTACAGCGAAATCACTGCAACAACGAGAGAATAAAAAAGCGCAGAACCTTTGAAGAGCAGCTTGCAGCCGTCGCAAAAACTGCTCCCAAGAGGATCTTCGCCTACGTGAAGCGGCGCAGGAGGCCTACAGGTAATGTTCCAGTGTGGGAAGGCTCAGATGCACAGCCCCTAACCTAGAGCACAGATAGTGCGTCCGCATTGGCGGCACACTTCCCCTCCGTATTTGCAAGTGACCAGGTGTCTGTAACAATTTAGATGAGTACAGCTCCCGCTGAACTAGACAGCTTGGACCGTAGCATTGAAGATGTACGCGAGCTTCTAGCAAATCTTGACGAGACGAAGCCTGCCGGGCCAGATGAAATCCACCCACTGATTCTCAAGTCCATATCGGCCATCATCTCGCCTTTTGTAACTGA